GGATAAACTGGGGTTATTAAAATGTCAAACTTTGGGCTGTGGAGAAATGGCTCAGATTTTAGGAGTCCTGAGTTCAATTCCCAGCAACCACATGGTGGCTCACAGCCATCTGTAATGAGATCTGGTGCCCTCTTCAGGCCTGCAGGCACACATGCAGGCAGAACACTGTATCCATAATGCAGGAAACCTTACTGAAGAAGAGGAAGATAGAAAAGACCTGAAAGGGACAGGAACTGCACAAGGAGACCAACAGAGCCAAAAAAAACCTGGCCCAGGGGGTCCTGCAGAGACCAATACTTCAACCAAGGACCATGCATGAAGAGGACCTAGACCTCAGTTTCTAAGTGGGTTCCCTAGTAAGGAGAACAAGGGCTGTCTCTGACATGAACTCAGTGGCTGGCTCTTTGATCACCTCTTACTCTGGCCACAGAGGAAGATGATGCAGCCAGCCCTGATAAAACTAGAGTCAGATAGAAGGGGAGGAAGTCCTCCCCTATCTGTGGACTAGGGAAGGGGCATAGCTGAAGAAGAGAGAGGGTGGGTGGGACAGGGAGGAGATGGGGGGAGGGGAGCTATGGCCAGGATACAAAGCAAGTAAATTGAAATAAATAGATAGATAGATAAATAAATAAATAAATAAATAAATAAATAAATAAGAGAGAAAAATAAAATAAAATGGCAAACTTCTGGTTTGCTATATGTATTATTAAAAGAAGGAAAAGGCAAGCCATTCATGAATGCATGTGCCTACAGAAGGTAGAAGCATTGGATTATAGAGGTGAAATTATAGGCATTTGTGAGTTTAATTGTAGGCAGTTGCAGACTGAACTCAGGTCATTTGAAAGATCAGTACTCAGTTTTAACTATTGAGGCATCTCTCTAGTCACATATGTATATGTATGTGATGTATATATAGATATACATATTCTTAAAACTGAACAAGAAAGAATGAAGACCAAGAACATTTAACTGTACCATGTACCGTAGAGGCAGGGATCCAGTGTGGATTCATTTTTAGGACAGAAAGGCAAAGGAGGTTGCATAATCTCTGTTCTCTGCTTTTTTCATGGGAGTGAAGATTAGCATCCCTGATAAAAATTCTCACATTTAGCAAGTGGGTAGTAGATGAGAGGAGTCATGAGTCTCTCTGTTGAGGATACATAGCAAAAAGGATCTCTGTGGCAATGGACCAGAGCCAGGAATATCAATCAGAAATTAAGTCTAATTTTGTACAGGTACTATATTATATGTGGTAAACCTATTGTGAATGCACGTATGGGTTAGCAAACATAATCTTCCTCTGTCAGGTGAGAGGGGATTGGAGCAACAAAGAATATAACTGAGTACTCAGATCTTAGCTTATAACAGAGCTTTGTCATATATGGATCAGAGCTTCTTAGAGAAATGATGGGTTCCAAGACTGGGGCAGGAAGCATGATGGAAACATGTTAAAAGTCCCAAGAGCCAGCCGAAGGGCTAAAATAGTTTGTAGAATGTAGTGAAAAGAATAATACTGGATTGCAACATAAAGCATAAAATAAGCATCCATGAATCTAGACATAAATACATTATTAAGTAAATACAAATTTTATAGATGCTCTGCTCTGAAAGAGAGTATACTTCACATTCCGAAACATGGTATGAGCAATGACTTCCTTCAGAAAGCAGAGGACAGAAGGCCAGGTGACTTTATGATGGAGAAAGTGACAGAGCTGTGGTGGGACGGACACGTCCTTGGTTTTCTGGTAGGCCCTATGATGGTAGCACTCCACTGTGTTGTAATGGAAAGGCTTTTAGCCTCTAAAGGGCTTTTAGCACATGCCATGACATGTGCTCAACCCCACAGATAATAAACACAAAGCAACAACGACAGGAAACAGTAAAATGGAAAATTTTACTGAATGATTTGAATGAAATGTCCAGGATAAGCAAAAGGACAGTGACAGAAAATTGCCAGTGTTATCTGGAGCTGTGGGTGGTGAGGATGAAGGATGCCTGCAGCAGGGTGGACTCCGATGGAGCAACCGCTGCTGTGAATTAGGGTTACATAATTTTGAGCGGACACAAATAACCACATTCATGAGGGATACAGGCTGGTTCTGAGGTTTCCAGGGCCACTTAGCTTTGATTTAGTCTCTCAGGAGAGCGGAGGAAGGACAGAGAGAGGAGTGGCTTTAACTAAAGAGCTATGTGTGTACGAAAGGACTTCTGGGTAGCAGATAGGGACGGCATCTGCTTCTATCAAAAGAATAACCGTGAGCCGGGTGTGGTGGTGCACGCCTGTAATCCCAACACTCAGGGAGGCCGAGGCAGGCAGATCTCTGTGAGTTGAGGCCGGCCTGGTCTACAAAGCAAGTCCAGGACATTCAAGGCTACACAGGAAAACCTTCTCTCAAGAAACAAAACAAAACAGACGAGAATAGCTGTGAATGTTGCAAGAAGGGGGAGTACGGCACCCCTGGTGCGGTGGTTTCAACAAGGACGGCCCTTGAAGGCTCATCTGTTTGAATAGTCACCCGGGAGCGGCGCTACCTGAGGAGGCTTGGGAGGCTGTTCTTGTTAGAGGAGTGTGTCACTGGGAGTTGGGCTGCCCAGGGGTTCGGATATGGAACTCTCAGCTACTTCTCCAGCCTCCTATCTGCCTGCTGCCGCCAGCACGCTCACCGCCGTGATGAGAGCAGACCAAATCTCTGAAATGGTTAGCAAGCAGGAAAGCTGCCATGCTCACGGTGTCTCCTCACAGAGGCAGAGCACTGAGACCCTGGGATAGGGCATGGGCGGGAAGAAAGACCTCTTCTGAAGCTGGAGAGCAGATGTCTGTAGCTGTGTGAGAGCCGTGTGGGCGTGAGTGTGTACGATGCGTGTGTGCAGTTTGCATCTGAAATGCAAATGGTGAGGTGATGCGTGCTGTGGAACAGATAACAAATGTAGGACATGGTGTGTGCTTCTGTGTGGCGTGTGCTGTGCTGAACTGCGGGTGGCAAACCTCTAGGGTGTGTGCGTCTGTTTTGGGTGCTATGATATATGTGTGTGTGTGTGTGTGTATATATATATATATATATATATATATATATATATATGTATATAACATGTATGTATATATATATATATATCTCAAAGGAGATCCCTGATGCTCCTTTCTCTACTTTTTCTTATGACAGTGCAATGAAGATTGAGAGCTATAAATCTATAAATGATCACTTACCTCTGTGACCCCAACAAATCCATTGTTCCCTCCATTTCCTCTGCAATCAGCCTGTCATCACTTCTCCTTCTGAACTATCTCAGGACTCTGTTTCAGCCCATGTGACCCCCTTCTCTCTTCATGCCTCCAGTTCCGATCCCTCCAGCCATCCCACCTCATTCACTGGTCTCGCCACCCCACAGCCCTCTCTGATAACCTCAAGAGTCCTGCCTGTCCATCGAGCTGCTCCTGGCCTGCCTTAGCTCTCTTTTGTGATCTAGTTGAGGTTTACATTCCCCCTCTTGCAGGCCTTGCTTCTTCACCTCACTCTTCTCTCTCAGCCTCACTCTTCTTCCCTCCCCTCAGTGTCATGCCTGGGTACTTCATGTGAGGGTCAAGTTGTAACTGGACTTGGTTTTTGTCCTGTGCTCTCCAAGGCTACGTGGACCATAGATGTGGTTGGCCAATGGAGGCAGGCTCTGCCTTGGGCCTGAAGTATCTGTGCCAGAGATCTCTTGACAAGTGACCACTCCCACGTGGCTATGAACCACCACAGTGGTCTAGGCGGCCCCAACCATGGCCCTGCTTCTCCTCTCCGACATTTTCACATTTGTATAGTGGATAGCCAAAGCGCGACAGCATTCACAGGCAGAACAAAATGTCTGGAAAGCACAAAGTGACTCATCACCTAACATCTCCCAAGTCAGCTTGTGTATGGTTGGCTTTCCTAGCTTCAGGCTCAGAACGTCCTACTACCTGTTCAAGATAGCTCCCTTCCTCCACTTCACACTCTCTCCTCTCTCTTGGCCTCCCTCCCTCTCTGGCCCTGTTGCTTTGACACAAGGTCTTGCTATGTATCCCAGGCTAGTCTTAAACTTGTGACTAACCTGGGTGGTTGAATAAGAATGGCCCCCTTAGACTCATATATTTGAACGCCTGGTCACCAAGAAGTGACCTGGTGTGGCCACGTTGGAGTAGCGTGACCTTGTTGGAAGAAGTATGTCACTGGACATGGGCTCTGAGGTCTCAGAAGCCAAAGCCAGGCCCAGAGTGCCTCTTTCTTCCTGCTGCCTGAGGATCCAGATGTAGAACTCAACTTCTCCAGTACCATGACTGCCTGCCGGCCACCATACTTCCCACCATGATGAAAATGGACCAAACTTCCGAAACTGTAAGCAAGCCCTCAATTAAATGCTTTCCCTTCTAAGAGTTGCTGTGGTCATGGTGTCTCTTCACAGCAATATGCACTTTCACACCCAGCTTGTTCGCGGTTCCTCAAAGGCTCACGAGTTGCAACTCAGAACCGCTTTGCCTTGAGTCCAATTCTGAATTCTTGGACTGTAGCTTATGGCGCATTGATACGTGTTTCAAACCCACAGCACACTGGCCCTGTTGGACACTCAAGTTTCTATCACACACAAAGTAAACAGATGCCAGATTCTCTGTCAGGCCCAATCTCACAAGGAGATTCTGTGTTTAATTTACAATTCACTCTAGTTTACTCTAGTTCCTCCAAAGGTAGTCTCTGAGGAGTGGAGGCTGACTGTGGTTCTGCAGGAAGCTGTGACTGCTAGGCCAGGCTGTAGCAATGAGCAGAGGGCCTTTCCAGCTTCTGCCTCACAGCCAGCCTGCCTAGGTGAGCAAAGCATCCTGCCATACTCAGCTTTGGACAGGCAATGACATGGATAGGAATGTCTGGACCCGGTAGGCCAGAGCTGTGCTTTAATTGGACAGCACAGCATCTTGGCTATTCATGAAGACAAAACAACTTATGAGGGTGGAAGGCTGGGGAAGGGCCATCCAGGGCTTCAGGTACCTGGCCTCTGCGTGTCTCACAGTTGTGGAGGTAGCTTAGGTGATAGATCTTCAGGTTTAATGTAGCAAAATTCAGGTACTTCGTGAAAACCTGAAAGGAAATTAGAATAGCATGAGTCAGAAATCCAGATGTTCAAGGGCACATGTATAGAAGACAGACATACCCCAAAGGCCCTGAGAAAGGGCCACGTACATGCAGACATACTGGTAAGCTATACTTAACACTCATGGGTGTGGACCTGCACACACAAGCTCAGTCATGGGCAAGGACATGGCTCACACACAAACAGACATAACTTATATACACCAAGGTGAACAGCTGGAGCCTAGCTCACACATACAGATAAACAGAGACACGGAGATTTGAAGAAGAACATGGTTCACATAACCGCATGAAGAGGGAGAGACAGGGACATGCAGATAGGCACGCTGGGAAGTAGTACAGACACAGACACGCAGGGCAAACGAGGGAAGACACGAGCGTCTCGCGTGGGCACTCACATCTTCATCTTCACTTGTGAAGCACGGACCGTCCAGCTTATTCACCGCCATGATCACAGCCACGACATCTTTGCCATTCATGATGGGTGTGGCCAGGATATTCTTTGTCACGTGGTCGGTGAGCTCATCGGCAAAGGAGCTGAAGTGGGGACACTGCAGGGAGGAGAGGCTGTTGCCGTGGGCTGCAGGCTGGCGTTCCCGGGCTTTTCCGAGGGCTCAGCTTAGGAGGCCATGTTTAGACCAGCACTGTGCTGCTAGGAAGCCCTACCCCTGAACTCAGGACACTGTCTCTGGGCAAAAAGAGTTCGGCCCGTTCCTAGGGTTCTGCTTAGCTCACCTAACCTCTGATGCCTAAAAGTCTCCCAAGTTCTCCAGAGAGTCCCTGCAAGGCCCTTGAGCACCTGTGTACTTTTGGGAGAAGTTGGCCTCCTAGATGCTGAAGTCTGTGCCACTGCCTGTCTTCAGTCCTTCTAGCCCAGGTGACGGCCTCCAGCCCTCTCCACACCTGCTGTCTACTCCTCCTGGAAAGATAACTCTGAATGAAGGATGGACTCTGTCGTGATTGGCGGCTTGTCATGGGGCTCCATCACCAAGAAAAGTGTGGCTGGGGAGCTGGGGCTTTCCTGGACCTTGGGATCTTTCTGCCTGCACTAGACCTCTGCTCCACAGACCACTGTCCACCATGACGCTCTGTGACCTGTTGACTGTTTTTATCTAGAGTATTTTTCATCTTTTGACAATCTCACAGATGTCTACAGAGTATCTTGATTGTACTCAGCTCCAATCTTCCTCCCATTTCCTCTAGCCCTCTAACACCGCCTTTCCCACCTTTATTTCCTCTACTTATTTAAAAAAAAGTTTACAACTCGCCAAGACCAGACAGCGCTGCCCGCAGCACATGGTTGTAGAGCATGAACCTGGCCGACTTACCAGGGGCCCTGAAAGTAAAGAAATACCTTCACTAATAAAAAAATAAAAATAAATGGACCCTAAAAAAGAAAGTGAGTCAAATGTCGAGACTTGATGAGCTTTGCCTATCTCTGAGCTCATGGAGGGCTGACTCAGGGAGGCTCCCTACATCTACTACCCCAATATACAAAAGGAATCCTGCCTCTGGAGTTAGCTCCACCCCTGAAAGGAACAGGTCATTTGAGCTGGGCTCAGGATACTAAGACAGACACGACTGCCTCACTCTCTGCTTTCTGGTTAGTCCTTTATTTACATGAGGCCAAGATACCCTGGCGTGGTGACTGAGGCGAATGGCTTTGGCTTTAGCCTCTCTTTAGGGTCTGTCTCAGAAAGCTGGAGCAGCGTGCGTCCCTCCCATTCCTGCTCTGTGGATGATGGGCTGCCATCGGCCCCTGTGACACGCGTCGCCCCACCGCTGACTGGTAACAGAGGTGTTCTTACACGTACTTGCAGCCTTTGTGCTTCGTCACAATTCCCCAAAGCTCAGCCCTCTGATTAGCTTGAGAAGTTCTCTGCTGGCATTCTACCTCCTTGGTAGCAGGCTGGCCAGGCCACAGTTTTAGCCACAGCAGGTTAGGAGGAGCTGGTATAGATTGGGCTATAGTGGGTATATAGATACTCCGGTGAAGCATGGGCAGCCGGCGTCAACCTCCCCTTCCCACTTTCTTGATTCTTGGACAAGCAGCTGCCTCCTAGCCGCCACGTGGCACCACGCTAGAGGTAAATCAGCATATGAATGAGAACACAAAAGGAAGATGAAGCAGCAGATCCTGACAGGTGTGACATTACCGGGACGGACACTAACATCTTGTCATAAAAGATCACCAACCTTTTCCGACTAAACTGTAGGTACAAGGCGTTGGTCATGTGGAAATGAACTGTTGTATCCTCCCAAGACAGAGATTTGCCTAGGTATCCTTTTCACTGAGCGGATCGTGGTCGCTCCCATGGTTTGTCACCGTGGCCATCGTATTCCTGGTGCTTTGGACATGCCTATCTCCTGACTAACCGTAAGTGCTAGAGGCTAATCCTGAGCTGCAGGTTGCTTCTGGTATAATGCTTTAAGCACTATACCAAGTCATACCAAAGTATTTCTGCACGGAGCAAGAAATTACCTCCAGATGATATGCACAGATCTTTACACTTGACCCTCCATACACTAGACCTCCATACAGTTCACATAGAGTCACACATTTGATCCTCAGGAGGGCCAGACAGGTCAACACATCTGACTCTCAGACCGGTAGTTCCCTACCTGGAGGTCATGAACCCTTAGGGGGGTTGAACGACCCTTTCACAGGGGTTACACATTAGAAATCCTGCATATCAGATATTTACATGACAATTTATAACAGTAGCAAAATTACAGTTATGAAGGAGCAACAAAATAACTTCATGATAGGGGTCACAACAGGAGAAACTGTGCTAAAGGGTCGCAGCACCAGGAAGGTCGGGAGTTGCTGCTTTATGATGAGGTTCGTGATCCTCACATGAGGCCACTACCGACACGACTTTCAGAGAATGTGCAAGGCACACAGGCCGTAATTTGTCTCCTTTTGCTTTCCTTACTAGCTTTATTTCTACCACATTTCTCTCCACGTTTGAGACCTTACTTTATCACCCAGTTTAATCTATATATCTTCTATGTTTCATTTTGTAAGTAAAACCATAGAACATCCTGGGACCTCCTCGCCTCTTTCTCTTGGCCTTGCCTCCACCCGGAAACCTCACCTATTCATTGCTCTTTCTCTATATTTCCTTCCCCTGCTGGGAATTGAGTCTGTTCACTGCTATGGTTTTAGAATGCTCTCAGAGCCCTTTCATTGGCCATGTCCTCCACTCCGTGGTCTCTGCCACCTTGACGGGGCCCCCAGCCTCCTCACAGGTGCCTACTGTTGGTCTCAGCTGTGAGTCACCATCTTCACACACTCTGCTCCAGCTCCACCTGTCACTGTGATATCAAATACCCTCCACACTCAGGACGCTGCTCTGGGGTATTCAACCCACACACTATGCCCACAGAATCTTGGGTTTTATAATTTTAATTTTAATTTTTTTTTTTTGTATGTGTGTGTGATAGAGTTTCTCTGTGTTGCTTTGGCTGTCCTGGACTTTCTTTGTAGACCAGGCTGGTCTTGAACTCATGAATCTTGGTGTCTTTATGGTACCTCATGATCCTTATAAGACAAGACTCTTAGGAAAAAGGTAAAGAAGCGTTAGAGTACAGGCCAGAGGTCAGATACGAACTGGGCTTAGCTGTCATGCAGGTCTTGCTATATCTGTGTCTCTCTGAAAAGCTGGTTTTGAGTGAGATTGTTCTGGGGATATCAATTTCAAGTCTGGCTAGTGTTTCCCCCTTTAAACTTCCCTCTGTGAATCTACAGGTGAAACAAGAACACAGAGCTCTCTGAGACAAATCTCATTCTAGCCTTCAGAATATCACTCCTTCATAGCCAAATTTCTACCTTTCCTTGATTCCCATCACCCTGCCATTCATGCATGTGGTTCAGTAAGTCAAGGATACCATGGCTTACCAATGCCCCCAGCAGCCCCTCAGCCTCAGCCTGGCCCTACACCCCCTGTGACGCTAGCCCCCACGTTTCCCCCGTAGACTATGTCCTTCAGCCTCCGACTTCACCTTCAGATGCCTCACACGCCTTTCTATGTGTGTGATGCAAATGTGCATTCCACATTGAAGATTGGCAGGAAGCTTCCCAACTCCATCCTGTGGCTACAGGAGCTGCTGGGGACTTCTGCCTACCCTTCTTGTCCATTCCACTGTCTACCCAGGGCTTGTTTTCTGCTCAGACTATTTGGTAGCCTAAAAAATGGGCAAAGGAGGGAAGGAGCGCAGGCTCCTGGAGACTCTGAGTTGAACTCTTCACTGTCAAGTGATAAATGCATGTGTATCACAAATGCAGTGGCTTCTGGGTCACCTCTCACCCAGTAAGACTTCTCCAAGATCCACTTCTCCATGTCCAGTCTAGACTCTTCCTACTCTACCGACCCACTCATCTGCATTCCTCCTTTACCCCAAACATCCGTGGGTTTCCTGAAGCCACAGCCCAGACAGCCTAGATTCCTTTGATAGTCGGGAGAAATCAGCTTTGTTTATTGGAGAACCTGCTGTCCCGTTAAAGGCCGTCTGCACTCCTCCAGACTGTTTCAGATGAAGTCCTCTAAAGGGCACATGGAACATGGTGAAAACAGTCAAGCCTAGCTGGGTATGGTGCCACACACCTGTAATCCCAGCACTCAGGGAGGCAGAGGCAGGTGGATCTCTGTCAGTTAGAGGCCAGCCTGGTCTACAAAGCAAGTCCAGGGCAGCCAGGGCTACACAGAGAAACCCTGTCTTGAAAACCAAAAAAAGAAAAGAAAAGAAAAAGAGAGAGAGCTCCCAGCCCTTTTCCTGGTGACCTAAGGTACACTTTGCTCATTATGATGCTGTATTCTCCACCCCAGAGCTGTTTCCATCCACCCTGAGTCTTTATATGAGGCATGATTTTGAGCTACATCTGTTGAGGGATGCACTGGATCTTCAGGCAATATGACCACATCAATCACACAGCTCCTCATTCCAGAGACGGTGCTTCAGGAGTAACTCCCGGTGCTCCCTGTTGTAAGCCTCTCTGCGCTGGCTGTGCTGGGGACGGAATGCAAGGCTCTTTGCCTGTCAGGCGATTGGCTCCATCACTGCCCCACAATGCCAGCCCCTGCCTTTACTCTTTCACTTTTTGGACACAGCCTCATCACGCCCAGCTACACTTCAACCTCACCATGTCTTGCACTGAGGACTGAGTCCTGGTCCAACCCCATAGCTGAACAAGGCTACCACAGGGAAGGGACCAGGAATAGTGTCCTGGGTCAAGCCTTCTGTGACATTTATGGGAATGAAAAGTAGAGGGGATGAGACTGTGCATACAGAGCCAGGGCCTCTCGTCTCTTCGGTAAGGCCAGGGGCAGAAATCTCTCCAGATCCCAAGCTTTGATCTGACTTCTGCTCCGAGGCTTTAGCTGCGCTGTGGCTTAGCTCTGCCATTCCTCGAGCCTTCCGGAGCCTTCCGCCCTGTTGTTCTACTGTGAAAGTAAGTCGTTGCTTCTCCCTGGCCAGCCCGGTACCAGCATAGCCCGCAGCACCCACCTGCTCAGTCTCATCCGCTCACTCATCTACCTATGTGTCCATT